ATGCTAGTGTCATCTGCATACATATTTGGTATTGTATGAGCGAGACAGCCCGGAAGATCATTAATAAAGATCAGAAACAGCAACGGGCCTAGTATCGATCCCTGTGGTACACCGCATTTTATTATACCCGGATTTGAAAGGACCCCATTTATAAAGCATTTCTGGCTTCTATTAGAAAGGTATGATTGGATCCATTTTAATTCGTCACCAAAAAAGCCGTAATACTGCAATTTATTCAACAAGATTGTGTGGTCCACAGTATCGAAGGCTTTCTTAAGGTCAACAAAAACAGCTATGTTCAAGTTCCCCTTATCCATGTTATTGAGCCAAAACATAGTATCTTTATGTAAGGCCGTCAAAGTAGAGTGTCGAGGTCTGAATCCCGACTGATTTTGTGACAATAAGTTATTGTCACTTAAATATTCATAAAATTGTTTAAAAACGATTTTCTCAAAGACTTTAGCTATTACTGACAAAACAGATATTGGTCTATAATTATTTGCATCCGATCGTTCTCCGCTCTTAAAAATTGGGGCTACCCTTGCACTTTTTAGGTCATCGGGAAAAATACCACTTATTAAAGATTTATTAAAAATAATTGAAAGAGACTCGGATACGATACCTGCAACACCCTTGATCACGTTACATGGTATTTTATCTAGGCCAGATGCCTTTTTAGAGGGGATATCCCTTATAGCCGCCGAAACCTGACCAGCACTAATGTGCTTAAAATTAAATTTACTTGTACTTTGATTCACATAGGTGCAAGGATTTAAAGTTGTACTCGGAATATCACGGGCTAGGTCCAGTCCCAATTTAATAAAATGTTCATTAAAATTTTCAGCTATAAGTTTCTTATCACTTATAATACCCGATTCGTTTTTTAAAATATTTACATTAGTCCCTTTGGTAGGTTTGTTCAAAAGGTTATTTAGCAATTTCCACGTTTTCTTGGTGTTGTCTTTATTCGCCTCAAGGTTTTGAATAAAGTAATTTCTTTTGCATGTTTTTAGCTTATTATTAACCTTGTTCCTCATTTTACAGTATTCGAACCAGTTTGCTTCAGAACGATTTTTGACAGCATGTTTTTTTAGGAAATCCCTACGAAACATCATGTCTCTAATATCGGATGTAATCCACGGGGCATCACGATTTCTAACTCGTTTAGTTCTAATTGGTGCATGAGCATCCAAAACTCTATTAAAAAAAGCCTTCCACATTCGCCACATTTCATTAGGATCATGAAATCTGTTTAACAGTTCCCATGGTATTTTTTTTAAATCGTCGGTAAATGCATTCATGTCAAAGGTTTTATAATTACGAGTCTCAATAATCCTAGGTCGCTCGCGTGGTATTATCATACGACGCACTGCAACTTGACGGTAAATAACCCCGCACAAGGACGGAAATAATACACATCAAAGGAAGATATAATGTATAACATGCAACAGAACTGTAACTAAAATCACAAGTGTAAGCGATCGTTAAACACACACAGAAAAGAGGCGGCCGTATTTTCCGATCAGCCGCCTACGAGTGAACCATACATGCATGCGTTATACAACGAAAAATAACTTCGCCACACCGATCATATACTGCTAACAAAGCGATATAACTACCCAAAGGGCAAAAATCTTAACTAGACCCACAAAAAACACGCTACAATACAGACAAATACCAATATGAATAAAAGAATCACGTCCAAGTCCAAGTTTGATGCCTGAAGCTGTTCATTTTCAATTAGATCATTCACCGGCGAAACTGGTTCATTCTGAGGCGGAGCGGAATCAAGATCAATCTGTTGGGCAACAGCATTAAGTCGCAGGTACCGCTTCTTGTAGCGTGCAAGGAGCGCAAACAGGCGTGGAGCCATACTGTAAAGTCCGTAAATTTCTTTATCTCGCACTTCTCTGTCTTGGCGATCAGCACAGAAAGAGCAGTTACAACCTGTAAACTAGGGTTTTATGCATTGTACATCATTATTTATTCATAAAACAACGTTAATTACTCAAATTCCATTAGTTAATCAGCTTCCGCGGCGTGTTTGGCCAATTTGAATAGTTATCCAACTGAATTTCGTGTTAGCTTTAATTTAATTAACCTATAAAACTCGCCTTTCCACAGAAAATCCTTACACTCAGGGTAAGATATAACCGGCGTAGCGGCTCTAAGGTGAAAAGAGAGTCTGCACGAAACCACGTGTTTTGCCGTTTTTGCTCGTTCTCGGAGAGAGCGAAGAATTTGATTGGTTCAAAATGAAAAATATGCTAATTTATGCTTAAATAATCATTGATTGATAGCTGTCATAGCTTGATTGTGAAAAATCACGGCGGATTATATGTATTTCAAAGGTGTTTCTTGAGTTTTGCATCGAAAAGAGTTTAAAGGTCCCGATTTCACATTTAAGGATAGACAAACAAAGTGTTTAGAGTAGCCTACGTAAGAGGCGGTATTCGCGCGTGCACGAAAGATCGGGAAGTCTTAAATACCGCCTGCCCAAAAACTAAACATTCTGAGTTCCGCCAACCGAACGTATATGATTCCGTCCATCAGACATCTTACTTTAATGACTGTATTTGCAAAACTCCTTCAAATATACTGAAAATATGCAAACTTTGCAAACCTTTTTAGGCTATATTTTCTGTATTTTACAACATTTCGCAACCAAATTTTGCAATTTTACCGATTTCATTATTTTCTGTTAGCTATGTTGTTTGATTCCTTTTTCTTTACTTAGATTAAATTTAGTCTAACATACAAGTTGTCCATTGTCTGAACAAAAATATGGACTAGCCATACCTTTCTCCTAATATAACTTCGCCCCTTCGGAGGTATCTTCTTTGTAATTGCCTTGTTCCAATCGCTATCAAAAATACTACTTAAAGAGTTGTTTGCGAGCCTATAACTTCAAATCTGAATCTTTTATTACGGTATTTCATTTGCATTTCTATTACATCTCTATCAAGCAACAAATGTTAGATTGATATTCTTTGTTCATTCTTCAAGACGATGGGATTACCGATTCCAGATAAAGAATTCAACGCTTAATTCTCAATTAATACATTCGTTACTTTTTCGTTAGTGTATGCCAACACTCGATAGATTGGTATCAATTTCGAAAATAATAATAGTTTATAATATAGCCCGCGTGCAGGGCCACCGAAGGAAAATAGTGGGCCTGCAAGGAAGACCCGGTGTTTTGCACTTTCCGCGTTCGCCCACGAAAGCGGCATTCGGATTACTGTTGGATTCCTTATTTAGATCATTGATTCATCACAAAGGCTCTCGATAAGCTTTTAAAATTGGACCTGATCACTTTTTTCCATTAAAAATGAAACAAGAACAGACTGCTTATTAAGTTCTTTGTACGAACTTGCATGGCGATAAAACATATAATAGTTTTGTTTGTGGAAACACCACGTAAATATATTATTGCAAAGCTTTCGATACGTAAGCCCGGATCTTCATCAGTGCTAATACATATTATTAGCACTGATGAAGATCCGGACTTACGGATCGAAAGCTTTGCAGTAATAAATTTACGTGGTGTTTCCACACACAAGACTGTTCATTGTTTACTTGAAGGAAGAGCTGTTTTGCCGTTATGTCAACGGGGATTGCTTGTCGCGAAGTGTTGGAATAGCAACATTACACAATGACAATGTGCATTTCCTCTCATGTCTGGATTCCACTGTCTGGATTCCGGATTGCAAAGCTATTAAAAGTCGGATTCTGGATCCCTGGATTACCTTACATGGGGCGATCTATTATAGGAGAGGGACATACGAATAATGCCTTTATGGACACGGAAAATGTTTCTGCACTCGCGCTTCGGGCAGGTATTCCCACTGAAAAGTTTCTCATTTCCACCTAATCAGGGAAATGTTTTCCATTTTTTTAAATAACTATAGAATCGTCGTCACAATTACTCAGAAACCCACTCAGACAATTTAATCATGTAAATGTTTTGACATTTCTCTAAATGCTGATTCGGAATAGAGAACAGTTTCCCTTGCCCTTACACTACACCAAGTCCCATTTCACTAAATCTATTGAAGCAAAGGTTAGAAAATTTCTCAGCGTGGTTACTATCTACCGTAACATTACTGGCTATTTGCCAAGTCATTTTACCATTAATGGTGTAGTTAAAATGAAAGAAAGTGCAGTTTATATTATGAACAAGACTGTTTATAATACATTCATGTAGTTTATAAGTGTCATGCTGCTGTTCGCCTAAGTGAAAAGATCCGAAACTTGATATGAAATTGCATCCGGATTTCGGAAATAGCTTATCATTAATGAATAATTTCAAAAGTTCTCTTGGCTTCATTATTCCACTAATTACCGTGGCTTCAACGACATACGCTTCTTTCCCCACGAATTCTTTTATTTGCTGAGTAGTTTCTTGAGCTAACTTCCAAAATTCAACACCACTGCCTGCTACATACTTCATGTAAAATTCCTGCATGTCATACACAAAATATCCCAGGTAATCGTCGTGCGGTTTTGGATCACAGAATCGTCGACCATTGATAGCAAAGAGGGACTCGAACTTCATATTTTTCGATTTGTCGTCTTGTATAAGTTCACAAAAGGCTAAATGTGCCGCAGCTGTGATAGCTCCAGTTACTGTGCAATTATTTGCTTTACACGCTTGAATAATATTCTTCGTTTCGCTCTCAGTGAAGACCTTTACGTTCAGTCGACTCGGTATGGGTGAGTTAGGGACATGTGGATTTGGTGGGAACTGCTCATGATACGGATTATTCGGCTTCTTTTCTATGAAGTGACCTAACAGTCTTTCCATGCAAAATTTTAAAATCGGTCGGAGGCCACAATAAGCCAGCATAAAATTATATAATAAATGCCAAATTCGTCCCCGTATGACAATCTTGTGGAAAGGTGGCAGCAGATCTAGACTGGAGATTTCCTGATCTACACAGCCAGTACCGTTTGCAAGTTCATTCATATTATTAAGAAATTGCTTGCAAAACTTCACAAAAGAGACACCGTCAGTACATGCATGATTGAAGTTAAACATTAATGTATTAACATAATCTCGAGTGTCTGGCTTGAATTGCTCCTGTAATATCACAACTCGCCATAACAGACCATTTTCTCGTTGTTTTGCTGTATATTCAAACCAGACATCTTCCCAGTCTCAATTGCAATATTTCGTAATAATAACCACATGCATATTAGTTTTATTATGCAAGTCCAGTGCGTGGTCGGGATAAGTAGTTATCCAACACTGAATTTCCTGTTAGCTTTAATTTAATTAACCTATAAAACTCGCCTTTCCACAGAAAATCCCTACACTCAGGGTAAGATATAACCGGCGTAGCGGCTCTCAGGTGAAAGGAGAGTCTGCACGAAACCACGTGTTTTGCCGTTTTTGCTCGTACTCGGAGAGAGCAAAGAATTTGATTGATTCAAAATGAAAAATATGCTAATTTATGCTTAAATAATCATTGATTGATAGCTGTCATAGCTTGATTGTGAAAAATCACGGCGGATTATATGTATTTCAAAGGTGTTTCTTGAGTTTTGCATCGAAAAGAGTTTAAAGGTCCCGATTTCACATTTAAGGATAGACAAACAAAGTGTTTAGAGTAGCCTACGTAAGAGGCGGTATTCGCGTGCACGAAAGATCGGGAAGTCTGAAATACCGCCTGCCCAAAAACTACACATTCTGAGTTCCGCCAACCGAACGTATGATTCCGTTCATCAGACATCTTACTTTAATTATTGTATTTGTAAAACTCTTTCAAATATACTGAAAATATGCAAACTTTGCAAATCTTTTTAAGCTATATTTTCTGTATTTTACAACATTTCGCAACCAAATTTTGCAATTTTACGGATTTCATTATTTTCTGTTAGCTATGTTGTTTGATTCCTTTTTCTTTACTTACATTACATTTAGTCTAACATAGAAGTTGTCCATTGTCTGAACAAAAATATGGACTAGCTATACCTTTCTCCTAACATAACTTCGCCCCTTCGGAGGTATCTTCTTGGTAATTGCCTTGTTCCAATCGCTATCAAAAATACTACTTAAAGAGTTGTCAACCTCGTTTCCAGGGTCTTTAGGAAAGACCCTGGTATCGGCTGGTCACGTGCCTCGTCCAAAATTGATTGCCCGAGGGGGGTGTGGTGAAAGTATCAAATTACAAACAGTTAAAAACATAAATTTTGCGAACTACCTTAGCAGTAAGTTCAAAATACTTGCTAATTTTTGTTTATTTTATTTGCATTGAATTTACAAGAACATTCTTACATTTTTACCAACAGTCAAGTCAAGAAACCAAGAAAATCGTTACTCGCAGTGCTCTCTCGTGTTGTTTTATTCAATACTCTCTTCACACCCGAGCGCGGTTTTATAACAAACGTTTATGGGCCTTTCAGTGGTCACCATTTCTACATATCTAATGTTTTTAAAACAAGCATTAGATTTGTCCTTTTTTGGAAACGTTGCTATGCTTTGCACGTCTTGTTTATAAGATTTTTAAAAGAAACAGTATTGTATTGTATTGTTTTCGACTAGAGAGAGCCCAATATCAGCAAATGTAAACATTTGATACTAGCCAAACAGAGAAATGTCTGTCAGTGATTTATCTTTAAAATTTTGGATTTAGTACATAATTCGTATTCATTAATTATAGTAAGACTTTAACCTTTTTCTTGGTCAGATAATATTTTCCTAATATGCATACAACTAGGCTATAATCTACATCACAAATTTTGAAATATACAGGGTCAGACGCGCACAGACTGCCATACGAATACACATAAATTTTCGAGTTTTCTACTTCTACTAAGGCTACTAACAGTTTTCATAGTGTCTCAATCATCTGTTTATTTCTAGTTCAATAAGTTCATTTATATTTCTATATTTATTTGATAGTGGCATATATAGTGATACATGTAGACTATTTACACACAAGCAATCCTGGATATGATAGAGACGATACAAGCTGTCCATTAAAAAATAACGGTATTCTATTTCACAAAGCAAAAAATTTAAATCTCACTTGTATTATTAAGAATATATATAAAGCAGAAAATTAAAGCTTCTGTCAAAACGAAAGCTGTTTATAAAATTTATAAATGTGGTATAAACACAGTAGTAAACAGTAAGACAAATATATTGTCGTTTGACTTATCTTTGATGTATGACTTTACTTATTAAATACCGTAGATTTTCAACAGACAGCTACACTTTGACATATACCATGATCGTTGAGATCTTGCAGGAAATTTTATAGTCTTTTGACGGGATTTAAGTTTTGTGATAAGGCCTTTTAATATAATCAACAATCTCGATACAGTTGGCGTCTTGGCGATATTTCGAAAATCAAAAGATCTCGCTATTTCGTTCCAATTCCACATCTCATCAATAAATATATTCTTTTGGTCCGAGTATCAGGATATACTTTAATACTAACAGTTAAATATAAAATATAAACCACATTGGTCGGTCTAGCGATATGAATTTTCTTGTAGGCTTAATATTGCCACGCCGCCCAGGCGTGCTTTTAATTTCTTTGTAAGTTGAAATCTGATCCAACTTGCTTGAATTGTAACTCGACACTAGATTATAGAGCAGAAAGTCACATCACGATAAATATTAATTTTTAATTGCAGTTCTCTTCACGATTTCTTGTTGCAAATTTAAATTTCATCACACAGAATTGCAAATATTGTTACAAACGCGACAAACACGCTCCTCTCCCACCCTGCCCATAGTATCATTTTAATTTATCACCCAGAATCTGGGTGACACGTGACCAGCCGAAACCAGGGTCTTTCCTTCGCCTCGCGCCGTTCTAAGAAAGACCCTGGGAACGAGGTTGAAGAGTTGTTTGCCAGCCTATATCTTCAAATCTGAATCTTTTATTACGGTATTTCATTTGCATTTCTATTACATCTCTATCAAGCAACAAATGTTGGATTGATATTCTTTGTTCATTCTTCAAGACGATGGGATTACCGATTCCAGATAAAGAATTCAACGCTTAATTCTCAATTAATACATTCGTTACTTTTTCGTTAGTGTATCCCATCACTCGATAGATCGGTATCAATTTCGAAAATAATAATAGTTTATAATATAGCCCGCGTGCAGGGCCACCGAAGGAAAATAGTGGGCCTGCAAGGAAGACCCGGTATTTTGCACTCTCCGCGTTCGCCCACGAACGCGGCATTCTGATTGCTGTTGGATTCTATAATTAAATCAGTGATTCATCACAAAGGCTCTCGATAAGCTTTTAAAATTGGACTTGATCACTTTTTTCGATTAAAAATGGAACAAGAACAGACTGCTTATTAATTTCTTTGTACGAACTTGCATGGCGATAAAACATATAATAGTTTTGTTTGTGGAAACACCACGTAAATGTATTATTGCAAAGCTTTCGATCCGTAGGCCCGGATCTTCATCAGTTCTAATACATATTATTGGCACTGATGAAGATCGGGACTTACGGATCGAAAGCATTGCAGCAATAAATTTACGTGGTGTTTCCACAAACAAGACTGTTCAATGTTTACTTGAAGGAAGAGCTGTTTTTGCCGTTATGTCAACGGGGATTGCTTGTCGTGAAGTGTTGGAATAGCAACATTACACAATGACAATGTGCATTTCCTCTCATGTCTGGATTCCACTGTCTGGATTCCACTGTCTGGATTCCGGATTGCAAAGCTATTAAAAGTCGGATTCTGGGTCCCTGGATTACCTTACATGGGGCGATCTATTATAGGGGAGGGACATACGAATAATAATGCCTTTATGGACACGGAAAATGTTTCTGCACTCGCGCTTCGGGCAGGTCTTCCCACTGACAAGTTTCTCATTTCCCCCTAATCAGGGAAATGTTTTCCATTTTTTTAAATAACTATAGAATCGTCGTCACAATTACTCAGAAACCCACTCAGACAATTTAATCATGTAAATGTTTTGACATTTCTCTAAATTCTGATTCGGAATGGAGAACAATTTCCCTTGCCCCTTACACTACACCAAGTCCCATTTCACTAAATCTATTGAAGCAAAGGTTAGAAAATTTCTCAGCGTGGTTACTATCTACGGTAACATTACTGGCTATTTGCCAAGTCATTTTACCATTAATGGTGTAGTTAAAATGAAAGAAAGTACAGTTCATATTATGAACAAGAGTGTTTATAATACATTCATGTAGTTTATAGGTGTCATGTTGCTGTTCGCCTAAATGAAAAGATCCGAAACTTGATATGAAATTGCATCCGGATTTCGGAAATAACTTATCATTAATGAATAATTTCACAAGATCTCTTGGCTCTATTATTGCACTAATTAGCGTGGCTTCAACGACATACGCTTCTTTCCCCACGAATTCTTTTATTTGCTGAGTAGTTTCTTGAGCTAACTTCCAAAAATCAACACCACCGCCTGCTACATACTTCATGTAAAAGTCCTGATTGACATACACAAAATAACCCAGGTAATCGTCGTGCGGTTTTGGATTACAGAAGCGTTGACCATTGATAGCAAAGAGGGACTCGAACTTCATATTTTTCGATTTATCGTCTTGTATAAGCTCACAAAAGGCTAAATGTGCCGCTGCTGTGATAGCTCCAGTTACTGTGCAATTATTTGCTTTACAGGCTTGAATAATATTCTTGGTTTCGTCCCCAGTGAATATCTTTACATTTAGTCGACTCGGTATGAGTGAGTTAGGGACAAGTAAATTTGGTGGGAACTGCTCGTGATACGGATTATTCGGCTTCTTTTCTATGAAGCGACCTAACAGTCTTTGTACGCAAAATTTCAAAATCGGTCGTAGGCCGCAATAAGCCAGCATAAAATTAAATAATGAATGCCACATTCGTCCCCGTGTGACAATCTCGTGGAATGGTGGCATCAGATCTAGACTGGAGATTTGCTGGTCAACCCAGCCAGTGCCGTTTGCAAGTTCATTCATATTATTAAGAAATTGCTTGCAAAACTTCACAGAAGACACGCCATCAATACAGACATGACTGAAGTTAAACATTAATGTATTAACACAATCTTCAGTGTCTGGCATGAATTCCTCTTGTAATATCACAACTCGCCATAACAGACCATTTGCTCGTTGTTTTGCTGTATATTCGAACCAGACATCTTTCCAGTCTGAAGCGTTCACATAGGAAATAGTGATATCGAACATTGCAATCACTTCATTGATTTCCTTGATCTCGAAATATTTATTCCCGCCCGCCATTGTTGCTATGACTGCTCGAAGCATCGGCTGTCGTTTGGCTAACAGCACCAGAGCGTCACGAACATGTTCGTGTACCAGACTCTGTTTTGATGTTATAGATATTCCCAAGCATATATTCCCTGAGCCAGATTTTTCCATTGAAAGAATATCTAGCACTTGTTCATTATGATGAAGTTGTCGTCGGTTAGTAGTGTTTGGTGGTATTTCCCTCACCTCGCCAGTGAAGTATTTCACAATCTTGTATACAAGAAATATACATGCTGCAGTCAGAAGTATTTTGACCCAGCTCACACTTATCATGGAAACATCAGACAACAAAGCCATAACTGATATGTGTACCAGTTGAAGTAATAACCAATACAACAATGTGCTATTAAAATAGTTCAATCGCAATATTTCGTAATAATAACCACATGCATATTAGTTTTATTATGCAAGTCCAGTGCGTGGGCGGGATAAGTAGTTATCCAACTGAATTTCCTGTTAGCTTTAATTTAATTAACCTGTAAAACTCGCCTTTCCACAGAAAATCCGTGCACTCAGGGTAAGATATAACCGGCGTAGCGGCTATCAGGTGAAAGGAGAGTCTGCACGAAACCACGTGTTTTGCCGTTTTTGCTCGTTCTCGGAGAGAGCGAAGAATTTGAATGGTTCAAAATGAAAAATATGCTAATTTATGCTTAAATAATCATTGATTGATAGCTGACATAGCTTGATTGTGAACAAACACGGGCGGATGTATTTCAGAGGTGTTTCTTGAGTTTTGCATTGAAAAGAGCTTAAAGTCCCGATTTCACATTTAAGGATGGACAAACAAAATGTTTAGAGTAGCCTGCGTAACAGGCGGTATTCGCGTGCGCGAAAGATCGGGAAGTCTGAAATACCGCCTGCCCAAAAACTACACATTCTGAGTTCCGCCAACCGAACGTATGATTCCGATCATCAGACATCTTAATTTAATGTATACTGAAAATATGCAAACTTTGCAAGCCTTTTTTAGCCCGCGTGCAGGCCCAAGGGAACTGATAGTGGGCCTGCAAGCAAGGCCCGGTATTTTGTACTTTCCGCATTCGCCCACGAACGCGGCATTCTGATTGGTTGTTTGGTATTGGATTCTATAATTAGGTCCGTGATTCATCACAAAGGCTCTCGATAAGCTCAAAATTTGAAAATTGATCACTTTTTTCGATTATACAAGGAACAAGAACAGACTCTTTATTGTTTACTTGAAGGAATAGATGTTTTTTCCGTTATGCCAATGGGGATTGCTTGTCGTGAGGTGTTGGAATAGCAACATTACGACTGCATGGGGTAAACTATAGTAACCTTTACTCGAGTTTTATTAATTTCAAACAGACTTGATCATATGTTCCTCAAGAAAATTATCTTTTGGTTGATGTTGAGATGCAGTTGCATGTCAGCTTATTCGAAACACTTTGCGATTTACAACGTTTCGCTGAGAGAGCGAAACAGAAGACGGTAGTAAATTGCCGTTTGAAACGAAACGATCTGACGCGCTGAATGCTCTCTTCTATTGTATAGTTCTTTACCAAATGAAATAACTGAAATAAATTTCGTACTTTCCGCCGCCAACAAGAATTGCACACACGATGTGATAAGTGAGACAATTTATTTATAACAATGCCAATGGCGACAGCGAAGCACACATAATATAAATGCTAATTTGGTCGCACGACTTCCCTCACGATTTGAAGTTTGAGACTGGTCAAGTCTAGATCTGTTGAAATTCGTCCTAATTTGCCTGTTCCGATTTTAGTTGAAAATGAGCACTTGCAAATTTGGCAATTACTGACTGCGTTGCTTGCTTTTTTGAAGTTAAAACGCTGCCATTTACACATTGTTTATGTTCTGAATAAGCAGAGAAAACCCCGCAACATTTTAATGCGAGGTTGTTTGTTAATATTTGGGTGCTGTCATTGGTTCTTTTTTGACAATTGACGCGCAAATGGGGCGTGTTATGAAAAGGGGCGTTTTACAAAATACCGGGCCTTGCTTGCAGGCCCACTATCAGTTCCCTTGGGCCTGCACGCGGGCCAGCCTTATTAGGCTATATTTTCGGTATTTTACAACATTTCGCAACCAACTTTTGCAGTTTTACCGACTTCATTATGTTCTGTTTAGCTATGGTGTTTGATTCCCTTTTCTTTACTTCGATTAAATTTAGTCTAACATACAAATTGTCCATTGTCTGAACAAAAATATGGACTAGCCATACCTTTCTCCTAACATAACTTCGCCCCTTCGGAGGTATCTTCTTGGTAATTGCCTTGTTCCAATCGCTATCAAAAATACTACTTAAAGAGTTGTCAACCTCGTTTCCAGGGTCTTTAGGAAAGACCCTGGTATCGGCTGGTCACGTGCCTCGTCCAAAATTGATTGCCCGAGGGGGGTGTGGTGAAAGTATCAAATTACAAACAGTTAAAAACATAAATTTTGCGAACTACCTTAGCAGTAAGTTCAAAATACTTGCTAATTTTTGTTTATTTTATTTTATTTGCATTGAATTTACAAGAACATTCTTACATTTTTACCAACAGTCAAGTCAAGAAACCAAGCAAATCGTTACTCGCAGTGCTCTCTCGTGTTGTTTTATTCAATACTCTCTTCACGCTCGAGCGCGGTTTTATAACAAACGTTTATGGGCCTTTCAGTGGTCACCATTTCTACATATCTAATGTTTTTAAAACAAGCATTAGATTTGTCCTTTTTTGGAAACGTTGCTATGCTTTGCACGTCTTGTTTATAAGATTTTTAAAAGAAACAGTATTGTATTGTATTGTCTTCGACTAGAGAGAGCCCAATATCAGCAAATGTAAACAAATTATACTAGCCAAACAGAGAAATGTCTGACAGTGATTTATCTTTAAAATTTTGGATTTAGTACATAATTCGTATTCATTAATTATAGTAAGGCTTTAGCCTTTTTCTTGGTCAGATAATGTTTTCCTAATATGCATACAACTAGGCTATAATCTACATCACAAATTTTGAAATTTACAGTGTCAGACGCCGAGGCGCGCAGACTGCCATACGAATACACATAAATTTTCGAGTTTTCTACTTCTACTAAGGCTACTAACAGTTTTCATTGTGTCTCAATCATCTGTTTATTTCTAGTTCAATAAGTTAATTTATATTTCTATATTTATTTGATAGTGGCATATATAGTGATACATGTAGGCTATTTACACACAAGCAATCCTGGATATGATAGAGACGATACAAGCTGTCCATTAAAAAATAACGGTATTCTATTTCACAAAACAAAAAAGTTTAATCTCACTTGTATTATTAAGAATATATATAAAGCAGAAAATTAAAGCTTCTGTCAAAACGAAAGCTGTTTATAAAATTTATAAATGTGGTATAAACACAGTAGTAAACAGTAAGACAAATATATTGTCGTTTGACTTATCTTTGATGTATGACTTTACTGTAATACCGTAGATTTTCAACAGACAGCTACACTTTGACATATACCATGATCGTTGAGATCTTGCAGGAAATTTTATAGTCTTTTGACGGGATTTAAGTTTTGTGATAAGGCCTTTTAATATAATCAACAATCTCGATACAGTTGGCGTCTTGGCGATATTTCGGAAATCAAAAGATCTCGCTATTTCGTTCCAATTCCACATCTCATCAATAAATATATTCTTTTGGTCCGAGTATCAGGATATACTTTAATACTAACAGTTAAATATAAAATATAAACCACATTGGTCGGTCTAGCGATATGAATTTTCTTGTAGGCTTTAAAAATATTGCCACGCCGCCCAGGCGTGCTTTCTTTGTTATAAGTTTAAATCTGATCCAACTTGCTTGAATTGTAACTCGACACTAGATTATAAAGCAGAAAGTCACATCACGATAAATATTAATTTTTAATTGCAGTTCTCTTCACGATTTCTTGTTGCAAATTTAAATTTCATCACACAGAATTGCAAATATTGTTACAAACGCGACAAACATGCTCCTCTCCCACCCTGCCCATAGTATCATTTTAATTTATCACCCAGAATCTGGGTGACACGTGACCAGCCGAAACCAGGGTCTTTCCTCCGCCTCGCGCCGTTCTAAGAAAGACCCTGGGAACGAGGTTGAAGAGTTGTTTGCCAGCCTATATCTTCAAATCTGAATCTTTTATTACGGTATTTCATTTGCATTTCTATTACATCTCTATCAAGCAACAAATGTTGGATTGATATTCTTTGTTCATTCTTCAAGACGATGGGATTACCGATTCCAGATAAAGAATTCAACGCTTAATTCTCAATTAATACATTCGTTACTTTTTCGTTAGTGTATCCCATCACTCGATAGATCGGTATCAATTTCGAAAATAATAATAGTTTATAATATAGCCCGCGTGCAGGGCCACCGAAGGAAAATAGTGGGCCTGCAAGGAAGACCCGGTATTTTGCACTTTCCGCGTTCGCCCACGAACGCGGCATTCTGATTACTGTTGGATTCTATATTTAGATCAGTGATTCATCACAAAGGCTCTCGATAAGATTTAAAATTGGACATGATCACTTTTTTCCATTAAAAATGGAACAAGAACAGACTGCTTATTAAGTTCTTTGTACGAACTTGCATGGCGATAAAACATATAATAGTTTTGTTTGTGGAAACACCACGTAAATATATTATTGCAAAGCTTTCGATCCGTAAGCCCGGATCCTCATCAGTGCTAATACATATTATTAGCACTGATGAAGATCCGGACTTACGGATCGAAAGCTTTGCAGTAATAAATTTACGTGGTGTTTCCACACACACGACTGTTCATTGTTTACTTGAAGGAAGAGCTGTTTTTGCCGTTATGTCAACGGGGATTGCTTGTCGCGAAGTGTTGGAATAGCAACATTACACAATGACAATGTGCATTTCCTCTCATGTCTGGATTCCACTGTCTGGATTCCACTGTCTGGATTCCGGATTGCAAAGCTATTAAAAGTCGGATTCTGGGTCCCTGGATTACCTTACATGGGGCGATCTATTATAGGGGAGGGACATACGAATAATAATGCCTTTATGGACACGGAAAATGTTTCTGCACTCGCGCTTCGGGCAGGTCTTCCCACTGACAAGTTTCTCATTTCCCCCTAATCAGGGAAATGTTTTCCATTTTTTTAAATAACTATAGAATCGTCGTCACAATTACTCAGAAACCCACTCAGACAATTTAATCATGTAAATGTTTTGACATTTCTCTAAATTCTGATTCGGAATGGAGAACAATTTCCCTTGCCCCTTACACTACACCAAGTCCCATTTCACTAAATCTATTGAAGCAAAGGTTAGAAAATTTCTCAGCGTGGTTACTATCTACGGTAACATTACTGGCTATTTGCCAAGTCATTTTACCATTAATGGTGTAGTTAAAATGAAAGAAAGTACAGTTCATATTATGAACAAGAGGGTTTATAATACATTCATGTAGTTTATAGGTGTCATGTTGCTGTTCGCCTAAATGAAAAGATCCGAAACTTGATATGAAATTGCATCCGGATTTCGGAAATAACTTATCATTAAT